TCTGTGGCCTGGCTGCCTGTGACTCCAGTGTCCCTTGTCGCCAACCACTGGTCAGCTGTCCCTTCCTGGGTGGGCCTTTGCCAGGCCTCCAGTGATCGAAGGGGGTGTCCTTAACTAATAACAGGCATCTACAGAAAATCTCAGGCAGCAGCATTTTTCAGGGAGAGAAATGAGCTTCTGGCCAGCGTGGTACTGGGGGTCCTAGACAGTGAAATAAGGGAAAGAAGAAAGATCAGAAAAGAAGAAATACCACTAGTATTTGCAATGATGTGACTATGTACGTAAACATTCAGAACAATCGACCGACTGTTTAAGTGAACTTGCAATGTGACTTGATTTGAGGTCAGCCTACAAAATTGGATTGCATTTTCGCATGCCAACACAGTAAATCATGTGTCAGGGCTGCCTGACACCCGGGGGGGAGTCTGCCAAGCTGCGGGCTGGCCGTGTTGCCGACAGCGACAACCGTAACACCTTGTTAAGAGAAAATAAAAGCGAGCGAATGACAAGGCAGGACGTGCCATGTCCACAGTGAAGTGAACACCTTTCTGTCCCCAGAGCTCAGGCCAGCCCGTGCCCCTGGTGGTGGAGAGCTGTGTCCGCTTCATTAATCTTAACGGTAAGCAAGACCTCGGCCCTACTGCCTCTGGCCTGGCACCCAGCACCTGGCCCCTGATCCTGGGGGGGATTGGGAGGGGACTCTGCCCACCGGCTCTTCGTCCTCTCGCAGGCCTGCAGCACGAGGGCATCTTCCGGGTGTCTGGTGCCCAGCCACGGGTCTCGGAGATCCGCGACGCTTTTGAGAGAGGTGGGGACAGGCCAGGTGGGGTGGGGGTGGGGGGCTCTCTAGAGCGGGTGTGATCAGCTTTCTCGCTCCTCATGTTGCTCTCAGGGGAGGACCCGCTAGTGGAAGGCTGCACAGCCCACGACTTGGACTCAGTGGCAGGGGTGCTGAAGCTCTACTTCCGGAGCCTCGATCCCCCACTCTTCCCCCCTGACTTGTTCAGAGAGTTGCTGGCTTCTGTGGGTGAGGCCAGGGCCTGGGGCCAGCCGGGTGGGAGGGACTACTCCCCCGTGACCTTGGCTGCACTCACAGGCTTCTCTCTGGGGCGGTGGCCTGGGTGCAGAGCTGGAGGCCATGGCAGAGCGGGTGGAGCACGTGAGCTGCCTCCTGGCCCGGCTGCCTGGATCGGTGCTGGTGGTCCTCCGCTACCTCTTCACCTTCCTCAACCAGTGAGTGTTTCTTGGGGGGCGAGGGTGGCCAAGGAGTGGCCCCAGCCAGCTGACAATAGGGGTGCAGGGGACACTGGGCAGGGAGCTCCTGCTTGTGACCTGTGTGTGCCCCCAGCCTGGCCCAGTACAGCGATGAGAACATGATGGACCCCTACAACCTGGCCGTGTGCTTTGGGCCAACACTGCTGCCCGTGCCCGCGGGGCAGGACCCGGTGGCCTTGCAGGGCCGGGTGAACCAGCTGGTGCAGACGCTCATCGTGCAGCCCTCGCGGGTTTTCCCACCCCTGAGCCTGCTGCCGGGGCCCGTCTACGAAAAATGCATGGCTCCGCCTTCTGCCAGCTGCCTGGGGTATGCTCTTTGAGCTGCCTGGGGTGGGGGGTCCCGCGGAGGGGAGCCCCCTCATCTGCTCATCTGACTCACTCTGCCCTGAACCTTAGGGACACCCAGCTGGAGGGCCTGGCAGGGGAAAACGAGCCGGAGATGGAAGCTGGGACCCCCGCCCAGGAGGATGGTGAGGGGGGCAGAAAGGAGGGAGGGCCTTACCCTGTCCCCGCCCTACCCTGGGTGCCCACTCCACCCCTTTACTCAGACCCTCTCTTCTCCCCAGACCTGGAAGGGGTTGTAGAGGCCGTGGCCTGCTTTGCCTATACCGGCCGCACAGCCCAGGAGCTGACCTTCCAGCGTGGGGATGTGCTACGGCTGCACGAGCGGGCCTCAGGGGACTGGTGGCGGGGCGAGCACAATGGCGCCCGGGGACTCATCCCGCACAAATACATCATGCTGCCCGCAGGGTGAGTGACCAGTGCCCTGTGGCTTCCCTTTCACCTGGGTTTCTGCCCCCCACCCCGAGTCCCAGCTTCCACAGGCCTTTCTGACCACTTATGGCAGCACGAGCCCCCAGAACTTGTGCTGGAAAGAGCACTCTAAACAGGCTGTCTTTCTGACCCCAGGTCAGAGAAGCTCACGGCGGGCCAGGGGCCGCAGGCTGCAGGGGAACTGGGGAGCAGTCCAGAGGGCCTCCTGGCCATGGAGTTCCTCCATCGGTGAGCAAGGGGAAAGCAGCCCTTGGGAAGACCCTGTCTGGTGGTCCCAATTGCCCTCCCTGGCCAGGCCGGAGGGGGCTGGGGTCAGGCTTTGGCCAGGTGGAGAGGGGCCCAGTGGGGAGAGTTGTCCAGGTGAAGGACACTGAAGGAGGACAGAATGGACTCGCTGGACCAGCCTTGCTGTTCCGTTTCCCTTGGCCACACCCCGGGGTTGGGAGGAGCCACTGCCAGGGTAGCACAGGGACTTCCCAGGGCCCCCTGCCCCCTGCCAGGCTCACTGTCTGTACCCTGCAGGCCAGAGCCGTGCACCCCACCCGAGGCCCCTCTGGGCGCACCTGGGGGCCCCTCTGGACACAGACGGCACTACTTGGTCCCAACCTCCCTGGAGCGACACGTGGAGGTGGATAAGGTGAGAGCTGGGACTGGCTATGTGGCGGGTGGGGGCACCTCTTCTGGGAGCTCTCTGCCTCCCCTTATGAACCAAACGCTTCCTTCCCAAGGTTGTAGCCAGCCTGGGGTTGGGGGGGGCAGGCCTGCGAGGGTGTGAGCACAGGTGAAAGGACGGGTGGGCCCAGGAGCAGGGTAGAGGGGGACGTGGGGGCTCACGCATTTGGGTTTCATGTCTGGTTCTTGAGTGGGAAGTTGCAGGTGGTGTGAGTGAGGGGCTCCCGGACAGACTCCAAGGCTAGCATCTAGAGCCAGGCTAGGTGACAGGTGGTGACATGGCAGGCACTTGGCGGGCCAGGGAGGATGAAAGGGACAGATGGAAGTGAAGCTGGAGGGGGTGACTGACCAGGAAGCCAGGTAGGGCAGTGGTACTTGCAGGGGGAGAGAGTGGGTACTGGACGCAGCCCCTGCAAGGGGTGCAGCCTGGGGAGACCAGCTCCCTACTCTGTCCGATGGGCCCAGTGCGCCCGCCTGCAGGCTCCCAGTGAGCACCGTGGGGCTGAGACAGAAGCCCCGGGGACAGTCTGAGCTTGAGGAGAGAGAGGGAGAGAGCACTCGGTGTCCTGTGTGTACCCAGCGGCCAGGCCTAGGAGCCCGTGGACAGGGGTGAGCTGGGCCGCACAGACGTGGTGGCCCAAGGAGCAGGAGCCAGGCGGTGGGGGTGGGGCGGGGCAGCTGGGAGATCCCAGGGGAGGTGGGCGGCAGGTAGGGCCGGGTGGGGTGTAGGTGCACTCTGACCTGGGAGTTCCCGGCATGCTGATGGTCCCCAAGGCCCCCAAGGCGGGGGCGGGGGAGGGGGGTGTAGAATGGCTGTGATCTCAGCCAGGGAGAGAGTGGGTGTGAGAAAAGGGGAGGCACGAGGCCCAGCCAGAGGGGCCCCCACTTCAGGGCTAAACTGAGGATTGCTGTCCCCAGAAGAGGCTGTGACAGCCACACCAAAAGTGGCAGGAGGGAAATCGGGCAAGGGAGGAGGGTCGACAGCTGCGGGGCCCACAGAGAGGAGGGTCCTGGGGACAGGCAGTGACCAAGGATTGTTTCTGGAGTGTGGAGGAGTTCCACTGGAGGCTTGGGCAGCGGATGGGGGGAGAGCCTCACTCCTGGGTCAGTTGGCAACACACTGACCTGGGGGTGTGGGGAGTGGCTGGACAGGTGGGGAGACGCTCTCACTAGATGCCCTCCCTTTCTCTCCTCTCTGCCAGGCCGTAGCACAGACCATGGACTCTGTGTTTAAGGAGCTCTTGGGCAAGACCTCTGTCCGCCAGGGCCTCGGGCCAGGGTCCACCAACTCCCCGAGCCCTGGGGCCCGCAGCCCGAAGCCTCCAACCTGCAGCCGCCTCGGCAAGAACAAAGGCTTCTCCCGTGGCTCTGGGGCCCTGGCCTCACCCTCAGCATTCCATTCCCAGGGGCTGGGCTCACCCGTCAAGCCGCATTGAGGTGCTGCTGGCTCCTTTGCAGGCCCCGCCCCACCCCACCCCTGGCAGCCACCGGTGAGACCAGCCACCCTCCCCAGGCCCTTTGCTTCTCCCTGGCCCTGTCCAGCAAGCGCTGAGCACCTGCTCTTGACTCTTTGCAGAGGAGGATGCCCCTGCCTGCCCCCAGCCCTGGCTTAGGCCCCTCTGGGAGGCAACCAAGGAAGGAGGCTGGGGGCAGGCCCCTCCCCGGCTTTGCTGCAAGGGGTCATCAGTGGCTGTTGGGTGACAGGTGCCCTTGCTCAGATAAGCAGGCACGCCAGTGCCTAGGCCTGTCTCTGCCTCAGCTGAGAGTCTGAGCCTGGAGGGGTTGGCAGGCAGGAATTGGCAGCCATTCATAAAGACCTGTGCATTGACTCCCCACGAGAGGTAGTTCTCTGTCTTAGGGGGCTGGGAGGTGGGTACAGGGCTAGCCCCCTAGCGCCCCAACTGCTTGAGGCCACATGCCAAGGCGATCAGCAAAGGCAGCAGGTTGGGCTACCAGAAGAGCTTCCACCAGGGGCCGCTGGGCACAGAGCTGTCCATGCCAGGGCTGTGTGGGTTGGGGACCTGCACCTTTAAAGGCTCAATCACCTGCATCATGGGTTCCAGAGCTGTGCACGTGTCTGTGGGTGTGGGGGGGTCAGAGAATGTCTTTCCACCATTACCCTGATCCAAGAGACTCTCGGGTGGAAAATGAGCTGCAACTTTTATCGGGGAAAGAGTGAGAAGGGAGGGCAGAGGGAGACTAGAGAGGCAGAGAAAGAAAGGTCACCTGGCCCCACCCCTTTCCTTCCTCCTGGGCTCCCCGGGATCTCCGTCTCTTGGGCAAGCACTGGCTGGGGTGGAAGCCACGTGCCACCCTCAGACTCTGCAACCCCTTCCCACACCCAGCACCGAGGAGCTGACCTCTGGGGCCCCTCACAATCCTGGAGCCAATTCCCAATGGGCCCCCCTCTCCCAGCGGCTCCCAGGGACAGCCTCAGGCAGGCAGCTGAACTTCATAGAGCCTCTGGAAGGAAGGCGCCTCCTGGCTTCTCAGGAGGAAGTGTCCTTGGCCAGGAGGGAGCTGGCAGTGGCGCAGGACTCATCTTGGGGCCCCAGGCTGGGTGGGGCACGCCTCCGGGCCCAGCAGAGCAGGCTGCGCAGCTCCGAGGAGATGCTGCTGCTGAAGGAGGCGTAGATCCAGGGGTTGGTGCAGCTATTGAGGCTGGCCAGCAACATGAGCAGCACGAAAGGGGGCCCTGTGGGGGTGCAGGAGTCCGGGCTGGGGCTGAGGGTGCTTGGGCAGGGGTGCGACCCCACGTGCCTGCTAGGGACTAGCAGTCCCCATGAGCATGTGTGTGCTCATAAGCCCACAGCTGGACGCATGTGTCGGGGGGGAGTAGAGGTGCGTGTGCAGCCAAGCCCCGTGCCCCCCGCCCATGGCTCTAGCTACAGCCACACTCACCTTCCCGAGGCGCCTTCGGGTCCCACGCTGCCCACAGCTGCACAAGGAAGAAGGGCGCCCAGCACACCACATAGACAATCACAATCACCAACGTCATCCTCACAGTCTTGGCCATGGCTGCCGACACTTGGGCTCCCTCTCTGGGACTGCCTCTCCGGTGCCCTCCACGGCGCCCCCCAGCCCTCTCTGCTGGCCCCGGCACCAGGCTGGCATGAATCTCCCGGAAGATGAGCACCTGGCAGGCAGCGATGCCCAGGGCAGGTGCCACAAACACCATTAGGGCAATAAAGGTGACGTAGGCGCGGAGGCCCCAGGGCTCGGCAAAGCGGGCCCAGCAGTCGAAGACCCCGCTGCCGTCTCCCACATCGCGCTGGGCGAAGATGAAGAGCTGGGGCAGGCTGAGAAGGAGCGAGAAGGCCCAGGCCACCAGTACCGGCCGGTTCCAGCGAGCTCCGCCTCCATGGCGGTATGCCAGCATGGGGCGGCAGATGGCGCGGTGGCGGTCCAGCGTCATGGCCAGGATCATGTAGGAGGAGGCGTACATGCCCACCATCTGCAGGTACTTGACGGCCCGGCACAGGGCGTCAGGCCCCCGGAAACGGTCGGTGGCATCCCAGGCCAGCTGGGGCAGCACTTGGAACAGAGCCACGGCCAGGTCAGCCAGGCACAAGTGGCCAATGAAGACGTGCATGGGCGCCCAGCAGCCCCTCTGGCCCCGCCGAACTAGAGCTCCCAGCACCAAGCCATTGCTCAGGGCCACGGCCACAAAAACCGTGGAGAGCAGGGCCAGCTCCGCCTGGGCTAGCAGCGGATCCCGCGTGTCCAGCGGCTCCTCCTTGCTGCTGTTGCTGGGTGGGATGGGTTGAGAGAGGGGCTGGAGCACAGCTGGGCAGGGGTGGGGGAAGAGGGCCAAGTTAGGGAGTGTGCTCTGCACGGGGATCAGGCCCAAGGAGGTTCCAACTGGACAGGCAGAGCTGCTGGCCTGGGCAGCCATCAACCTGCGCCTCCTGCTTCCTTCCCACCTTCCACTTCCTTTCTCTCATTCTTCCGGCAGAGCACACATCATCCCCCCACCTCATGTGGTGGGGAGGGAAGGGCAGCCCCAGTCGCCACTGAGTATATAGAGCCATGCCCTCCCTTCCCCCAACCAGCAGCCTGGAGAGGAGGGCAAAGGAGCCTCTGAAAGAGGGGCTTCTCGTCTTCATCCAACCCTGCTCGGCCCACCTGGCACATCCAGTGGGGAGATGGGTAGGGGCCTAGTGGCTGGAACCTTACCGGAGGTGGTGGACACCACGAGCATGATGGGGCCGGGACAGGTGTCCTGAGTGCCTGGAGGAGACAGGGCCGTGAGCTCAGCTTCCCATCTGAGGGGTCAGCCCCGCTGCCCAGAGTTTCTGGATAGGGGCCGTTAGAGAGGTACAGGGTGGCCAGGTGCCTGTGTGTGTGTGTGGTGGGGTGGGGTCCAGCCCGTGCATGTAACTGCATGTGTGCGTGCGTGCGTGTGTGTGTGTGTGCGCCGGTGATCGGGCACTGAGGGTACACCTTTAGCTTGATCAAGGTTGGTGAGGTCTGGCCCCATTGAGTCAGACATGGACCTTAGGGCCTTGCTACGCTCCTCTCAGGACTGGGCAGGGGAAGATAGAGAGAGGGACAGTCAGACAGATGGATAAACCGAGCCTAGGACCCACCTAGGCAGTTCACGAGACCCAAGGCAAACATATAGACCCCCCTTGTCCTGACAGAGGTCCAGAGAGGTGGCCATAGAGGGCTGGGGACTGAGTGGGAGGGGCCAGCGTACCCCCAGGGTCCCTGACAGCCCCTTACCTGGCCAGGCTCAAGGGCTCCTGGGCAGCTGTGTGGCAGCGGGTGAGAAGGTGGCCCAGGAGCTCAGATCTGCTCTCCATCGCTCGCCCCGCCCCAACCCAGCCTCTGGGAGTGACCTGCACAGGAGGGCACTTCCTCCCCTCCTCCGTCCCCCGTCCCCCACGTGCCTCCCCGGGCCTCCTGCCTGTGGCACCTGGCACCGGGAAGTAGGCTCCTGGCCTCCTCTGCTTCCTTTCCTGCCCCTGGCCCTCCCAGGTTGGTCCCCAGCACTCCTTTCCCCCACTCTTTAGTGCCCTGAGCCCTCCTTGGCTGGTCCCCAGCTTGGCCCAGCTGCGCCCACCACACCGGCTATCCTTACCCACTCCCTGCACAGGGCCCACCCTACTTAAATGTTGGGCCTGGCCAGGCTGTGGGAGATCACTTAGTTCAACATCTCCATTTATGAGTGAGGAGCCTGAGGCCAGAGAGGAGTGGGACCGGCTCAGGATCTCACACAGCTTTTTCGTGGGCCTGGGCGAGGGAAGGGGGAGAGCTCATGGAGTCCCCACCTCCCCGAGGGATGGCCCCTCCCAGGCCTATGAAAGCCCTTCTGCCTCCTCAATTTGGGTGCTAGAAATGAGGGACAGGAAGCGAGGGGGTGGGGCGGGGTCAAGCCAGGGCTTAACGTGCCCTGTGAGATGCGGCTTCCTCCCCAAGGCCCTGTGGGAGCCAGGGACATCCAGGTCCTCATTCTCCTCCCCCGCCTGCAGCTACCTGTCCTAGGAGGAAGGGCACTCTGCACGTTCCAGCTCTCCCTCTCTCTCTCTCTCTCACACACACACACAAACACACGCCTTCATCTGCATGAAACAGCCACATGCCCACAAAGGCACACATACTTGACACAGACACAGACACGCACTCGTGTCCCCACACACTGTGTGGAGGGCCTGAGAGAGGGACTTCTCGGCCAGGGGCTTCAGGGCTGGGCCCTCCCTCCCTCCTCCCCCTCCTCAGGCTCCAAGACTTCCTCCCCCCTCGAGCCCATCCTTCCTCCCTCCCATCCCAGGAGCCTTTTTTCCACCTCTTCCCTGCTCTGCCACAGGCCCTGGCCTGGCTCAGCCTAGGCCTGCTGGCCCAGCCCAAGGCAGAAGCCTGCACGCTGTGCAGGGCCAGGCTCCGGGCCAGAACTGGCCCTTTTCCTCTGTTTGTCTGTCTTCTCTGGTGACCTGCGCTGACCAGGCCCAAGTACAGCCAAGGCCAAGGCTCCCTCTTTCTGGCCAGAGAGCCTGGTGGCACCTCAGCCCCTCCCAGCCCCTGACAGGGCAGCAGGGGACGTGGGGATGGGTGCCTTACACACTCACCACACCCCCACCCCTATATGCTGCACACACAGCACACGTACTACACCCACAGGTGCCGCACATACAGCACACACACAGCACCCAGTACACACAAGTGCACACTTCTCATACACATACCCCATACCCCCCTGCCTTGCATGTGCATATTTATAATGTTTTTTGCTGAACCATTATGAATTAGGTTGCAGAATGCCGACACCACAGGTCTGAACACTCCCACTGCACCTCGTAAGAACAAGAACCTCCTCACTTTCTGCCCTGTAACCACACTCCCATTATTAACCTAGGAGTGTAGGAAAGACTTTCTATAGGAGCTCCTGGGACCGGCTTAGGAAGCGATACCAGCCTTGTGGGATAAACATGCAATCATCTCTTTATGGGTTTCTCTGCCCAGACACAAATGAGGCCATGCAGGGCTGGATCCCAGTGGAGATCTGGCACCGGGCGAGGCCCCTGAGTTGTGAGGCCAGGCCCTCGGCCATCTCTGCTCCCTGCACTCCTGTTTTCCTGCTGTTGAACCCTTGAGGAAGGCCTCCCTTCTGCAGTCTTCTCTGGGCTCCAAGAAGCAAGGGGAAGGGATTGTGTCCACACCAAGGCCAGGACGTAAAGGGAAGCCATGCATACAGCTCCCCCTGCTCAGCCAGAACAAGTGCTGGGGACCTCCACGAGGAACCAAGAGCCACCAAGGCAAGAGCGCTGCCAGAGAGAATCTGGCTCCTTGGCTGGTAGCCCCCAAGGCTCAGAAGCCCGTGGTGCACGTGCAGGTGCTGCATGGGCGCTGTGCCAGGGGAGAGGCTGGGCGAGGCTGGGCCGAATCCCACTGCCTGCAGCAAGGAGCTGATCACAGGTGAGAGGCCCTGGGCAGGCCTCCGCCCCAGCCACCCCACAGAGGACTAGAGAGGTGGGGCTGGGCAGCAGTTCATGGGAAGAAAGGCTGGCTGGCTTATTCGCTGTCAAGGCCATGTGAGCTGGAAGAGATGGCACTGGGCTGCTGAGAAGCCCCTGCCCTCTGGGCAGAGTTAACTGGAAGCAGGGCACCTACGTGGAGCGGGGTGCCGTGCCCTCACTCCTTGGGGTGGGCAGGTGGCCCTGGGCGTGCCTCCCTGGGACAGGCAGTGGTGGGTGGGGGTCCCTGGAGAAGAGAGAGAAGAAAGGATCCCTGAGAAGTGTTTGAGGAGGTGGCTAAATTGGACCCATGCTCATCCCAGGGAGCACTGGGAAGCTGGTTCTGGAAGGCTGGAGAAGGGCTTGGCCATGGGGCTGGCCAGTTAGCCTCAGCGGGTCTCAGGCCCTGGGCAGGACTGAGCAGACACCCTCCCACCCCCCACACCCCCAGCGCAGCGTCCTCTGCCCTGCCCCTCCCCAGCTCCCTCTAAGATTGCATTTGCAGAAAGGGTTCTGTGGGTTGCCAAGGTGTGGGTCTGTGTGCCCCCCCAGCCCAGTGTCTGATGAGAAGAGAACAGGAGGCCTCAGGGCACTGAGCATCCCACATGCCCACCCCTTGGGCAGAGGATCAGAGGTGGCAGGCCCCTGGGCCTCCCTGTCCTGCTCTATCAATGGCTCTCCGCAAACAGAACACTTTGCTCAACAAACAGCAAGTACTGCTGGTCCCGCGCTGTGGGTGTGGAGGTGGAAGGGCCTGGGTGCTGTCCTGAGGAGTGCATGGTGTTGTGCCAAGAGGAGTGGGGGCAGGGAGGCCAGAAGAAGCTGTTGCCATCACCCAGGAGAGAAAAGGTGGGACCGCCGGGCAGTGGGGATGGAGAGGAAAGGCATGTCACAGGCCCTCGATCGATCCTGGAAGGACGTTTCAGGGATGAAAGAGGAAGAGGAGCCAGCCAAGGACATGGAGGAGTGATTAAAAAGCCGGGAGAAAAATCGGGAGAGCATGGGTTCACAAGGCTGGGAGGAGAGACAGATGCCCCAAAGGAAGGAATGACACAAGCAAAGCTGCTGAGAGGCCATGCCCTGGGGAGAGAGAGGCGCCCCAATTGGGTGTCCCTGCTGACGGAATGTGCACTGCAGGTGGTGGAGGCTTCGTGGCAGTGGGAAGAGGGAATGAGCTTACACCCACCGAAATGACAGTAAGGAGCAGAGTGAGAGGGCAAGTCCAACGTTAATCAAATGCTTAGAGGCTCCGATGGGGTGAAAGAGCACTGGGTCAGAGAATGGGATCAAAAGGGGCAAAAATACATTTAATAGAACCACATGCGTGTGTGCGAGTGTGCAGTGGGACGCGCATGAGCCAATGACAACAGGAAGACAGGGTGTCCACTTAGCTGAGGTCCAAATTAAAGTGAATAGTAATTTTGAAAGTTAGATAAAACCTGTTTGCAAGTTTCGGGAGGGAGGAGAGTGGTACTTGAGGCTGGGAGGGGCAGGGGCCCCAGCAGGCGCTGGGCTGAGGAGCTGGGGGGTAGAAGGCAGATAAGCAGTTGAGGGTTGTGCCCCCAGATGGCCATGAAATCCTCATCTAAGGGAAGGCAGCCTGGCAGGAGGCATCTCCTTTTTGTTCAGCGTTATACAGGCCTGTGGTTTCAGGTGGCAGATTGTTCTGAAGCGGAGGCTTGTAATGAAAAGCAACAGCCGCCCCTCCCCATTTCCCCATCCCAGAGGCAACCGATTGCAGCTTCTTCCAGGGGCTCTCTGGGTAAGCACTTCTGTCTTGCTCGGAAATGAACCTCTAGCTCTCTTTCACCACCACCACCCCCAGCACACCCCCTTCTTCCTCCGCCTGCTCTCCTTCATTATGGCTGCATCTAGAGCCACCTCATCAGAGTTTGCTGCCTCCACTGTTCTGACCGCCGTGGCCTAGGCACTGATTTCTCTC